GCACAACTGTAAAACATGTCCAGAAAAAAATTTGACAGCATTCCCTTGTATTTTCAACATTCCAGCACAAATATAATGACTACCTAGCAATTTCAGCATATAAATAGTTCCAGCAATAGACTAATACTCAAGAAAATCCACATCATTTAGAAGAGATTCAGCAAACACCATATTAAATCTTAGACGATTAGTACCAAGTTCACATCATCCAGAACCAAAAAATGTTGTTCACACAAGCAAGTCTCTGAATAAAATAGCATAACCATGAAGAGGTGCGATACATAAATAATACGCGAGATTTTAGAGAATTTCATAGTTTCAACTTTTTTTTTGCTTCTAACGGCCATTGCTTGGCTGTTAGGCGCAGCTCTCTTCTTGCTTCGAGTGCCCATTGCAGGGCTGTCAGGCGCAGCAGATATGACCTTTGATCTACATCAAATTTTTTAATTACATACTAAGGTACACTCACAGAATATAAGTAAATTTGGTGTAGTTTTCATACCTTCTAGATTTAGAGGTAGTCTTCAATGATGTCAACTTGGCAACATCGTCTTCAATTGCATCACCTAGACATGAAAGTAGAGCTAGTGCAGTTCCATTTTCACTTGGACACGGAAGCAGAGGTAGTGTACCATCAGTTGCTTGATCTGATGTTGTACAAATACCTTTTGTAATGGGTTTTTTCTTTCTTTTGTCCCTACATGAGTTTCATATATTAGCTTAAGTAAGACAAGAGTAAGGTGGAACAGAAATCTCATATTAAAATAGCAAGTACCTTTTTTTTGCTTTGCTACTTCTGCATAGGCTTCTAGTGCTTCAGGAGCAGCATCTTTGCAGCTTTACCATCTATGTCCATAAGCTTTGCAAATTGGACACTGGTGCTGGCCTTTCTTTCCCTTCCCCTTGCTATTCTCAGCATCACTTTTGTGCCTTTGTAGCTTTGGCCTCCCAGGGGCCCTCCTAAGGATTGGGGGATTCAAGAAGAATTCTTTGTTCACTCTAGGCCATTGAGACATGTCGGTTAGGCCAAGAAGAATTCTATGTCCTAAGCAATTTCTGGAATAGCATCCGGTCTAGCATCTTCCGCAACCCATTCCTCATCATCACTGCTATCCTCAACATAATCATTATTTGGTATATCTTTTTCTCTGACCTCATCATCACTATCGGAACCAACACTGCCAACCGACATGTTCATATTCTTCATGCGGATTGTCAAGATATGTATCTATTAGGCATACACTAGCTTCATCAATGACATTACTTGATTGACTAGGCAGTGTTATAGATGGTGTTTGGTCCGAAGGAGTAAATGGAACATGGACATTATCACTTCTCTCGGAATATTTGATGATCAAATGGCCACTTCTATTCTGATCAAAATAGTCAAACATGGAAGAGAGGGTTGCATCGCTCCCCACCTCGCCGGAATCATCGATGCTAGGGTTCTGGTCGACATGGCTGCTGGGAGAGGTTGGCGCTGCTAGCCCCCGTGTGTTGGCCGTCGAAGAGGTAATGGAAGAGAAGGCTAGAGGCGCGGCGTCGATGGGGGCGTGCGACAGGGGCTGGGGAAGCGCCGCCGGCGGTTCCGCCATGACCCGGCGCCTGGATAACGTCAGAGATGCGGTGGACGAGAAGCATGGGGAAGCGCCGGCGAGAGTTCCTCCATGATTCGGCACCAGCGGGGGATGGGGGAGCAGCGGTTGGGGCTCTGGTGGTGCCGGCGGGGGTTCGGCCATTGCGGTTCGCTGGAGGCCGGCGCGTGTGCGTGGATTGGGGATGATGGGGCGCATGCATTGAGTCGTGGAGATGGGAAGGGTCGGGTGCGTGCGTGAGTTTTTTTTTTCTAAACCAAGGGTAAAATTGGAATTTGTGTGAAATATGACAAGAAAATGGAGACTATCTAACGGCAGACTAACGGCAATGACAAATAAGCAATAGAATTTGTTTGTTTCTGATATATAAGCACTGGAGCTTTGTTGGATGGCAAATGAGCCATCGCTGAGGTTGTCGATGGTATGGAAGCAATTTTCTCAAAAAATAAACTGAGGCGATCTTTGGAACAGAATATCCATTGAACAAGTATGAGCAAGTGCGCGCGCGAGGAAGTAAACAGATTGTTTGTTTTGATTTTGACTGTAACCGCCCGAGCGGCCTCACCGCCGCCAATGGAGGCCACCTCCTCAACCTCCTCCGTCTCTCCGATCCCATTCGCTTGAGCGCTCCACGGAGGATCGGGGCGTAAGACATGGGAGGACTCCCTTGGTGTCTGGCCACCACCGAGTGCACGCCGCAGCCGTCGTCGTCAGGCTCCCTCGCCGGCACCCTCGCTTTCATCTTCCTCTCGCCGTGCCCGCAGCGCGCGCTCCTCGGCGCCATCGACCTCCTCTTCCTCCTCGCCTCGCTCCTCCTTGTCCTAGCCAAACGCCGCGGCTCCGGCCGCGCGGGGCCTGAGCACGAGGCGCTGCTGCCGACGCCCACCGCGCCGTCACGGTCCATCACATGCGGTTATGCCGTCGCGCTCGGCGCGTCCGCGGTCTTGGCCGCGGCGTCCGCTGTCCTCCTCGCGATCGCGGCCTTCCTCCTGCCGCCCGCGGCGTGGCGCTACGCGGAGTCCGCCTTCCTTGCCGCCCACTGCGCCGCGCACGCCGTGGCCGCGTGGACCGTGGTCGCCGCTTCGCGGAAGCCGGCCGCCGCGCACCCTCCGAGGCACCTCCGCGTCTTCTGGATCGCAACCGCCCTCTGCGCCGCGCTGTTCTCGGCCTCCGCGGCGATCCGCTGCGCCGGTGGCTCTCCGCTCTTCCCCGATGACGTCCTCGCCTTCGCCGGCCTGCTCCTCTCGCTGCCGCTCGCGTACATTGCTCTCACCACCTGCACGTTGCGCGATGAAAGCGACGAACAGGACCAGAACCCCAGCGCGGCTGCGGCGACGCCATACGCCACCGCATCGTTCCTCTCGCGCGCGACCTTCAGCTGGATCAGTCCACTCGTCTCCAAGGGGCACGCCAATGGCTCCCTCGCCGCGGCCGGGGACGTGCCACCGGTGTCGCCGGCCCACAGCGCCGAGGCGACGTACGCTCTGCTCGCGTCCAACTGGCCGGACGCGGCGCGGAAGTGGCGGAGCCCGGTGGCCGTCGCGCTCTGCCTTTCCTTCTGGCCGCAGCTCCTACTGACCTCCGCGCTCGGCCTCGTCCAGCTTGCGTCCATGTATGTCGGCCCGTCGCTCATCGACCGGTTCGTCGAGTTCATCCGCCACGGCGGCACGCCATGGGAGGGCCTCCGGCTAGTCCTCATTCTGCTCGTCGGCAAGGCGGTCCAGACGCTGGCGTCCCACCACTACAACTTCCAGGGCCAGCTCCTGTGCATGCGCATCCGCGGTGCGCTGCTCACGGCGCTGTACCGCAAGTCGCTGCGGCTGTCCGCCGGCGCGCGCCGCACGCACGGCGCCGGCGGCATCGTGAACTACATGCAGGTGGACGCCTGGGTCGTATCCGGTGCCATGCACGGGCTGCACGACCTCTGGCTGATGCCGCTGCAGATCGCGGTGGCGCTGCTCCTCCTGTATGCGTACCTCGGCCCGGCCGTGCTCATGACGCTCGTCGTGATCGCCGCGGTGGCCGTGGTCACCGTGTTCGCCAACAAGCTCAACATGGGCTACCAGTTCAAATTCGTCGAGGTCCGCGACAGCCGCGTCAAGGCCCTGACAGAGATGCTCAACCACATGCGCGTGATCAAGCTGCAGGCGTGGGAGCATACATTCGGCGACAAGGTTCGGGAGTTCCGGCGGGCCGAGGTCGGGTGGCTGAAGAAGATGATATTCTTCGAGTGTGGCAGCACCGTGGTGTACTCCAGCGGGCCAGTCTCCATGGCCGTGCTCGTCTTCGGGACATACCTTGCCGCCAGAGGGGAGCTGGACGCCGGCAAGGTGTTCACGGCCACCGCCTTCTTCCGCATGCTTGTAGGGCCCATGAGCAGCTTCCCGCAGACGATCGCCATGTCCGTACAGGCGTTCGTGTCACTCGGCCGGCTAGACAAGTTTCTGTCAGACGCTGAGATCGACGGCACGGCGGTGCAGCGGCTCCGGGGATGAGGTGGCCGTGAAGGTGCAAGACGGAGTGTTTGCATGGGACGTCGAGGGCGGTGAGGGCGAGGAGAAGGATAGCGGAGGGGAGGAGCCGGTGCTGAAAGGGATCGAGATGGAGGTGAGGAAGGGTGAGCTCGCGGTGGTGGTCGGCACCGTTGGCTCCGGCAAGTCGTCGCTGCTGTCGTGCATCATGGGAGAAATGCACAAGGTCTCTGGAAAGGTGAGTGTACTGCTTAGTTTTATATGAGTTTATATGAAATGAACAACACCAGCAAACATTCAGGATCCATTGATTCAAAGGATTTCTAAAGAATTTTTTAAGGATTTTAATATATGTACATGAGTTGTCTCATTTGTAGGATTGCAATCCATAGGATTTTTTCTTAGAATTTATTTTGCATTAGATTTTAGAGGAACATTTTCATCTACTTCAACTTTGATTCTGGTGTTTTTCTTATTTTGCGACCATTCTAGAAATCCTGTGAATCAGTGCAAATTTATTCTAGGAACAGGAGAGCGTGCAAATTGTAACTGTTCAACAGGACAGTTAGTTCCACTCTGTCACATACTCTATCCATCCCAAAATAAGTGACTCAATTTTAGTACAAAATTGAGTCACTTATTTTGGGACGGAGGGAGTACATTGCAGATGATGATATCAGGATGCAGGAATTTATACATTGACATTGCAGAGCTTTTCTAGTTTCTAGAATTAGGCCACCCACAATTTCTAGAAAAAAGAGCTTTTCTGTTCCTCAAATCAGCTTAAGTACTTTTCTCAACTTCTGCCTCATCTGTCATATATTGTCTTTTGTCTTTGATATAGGTTAGCATATGTGGGAGCACAGCATGTGTCAGTCAGACAGCCTGGATTAGAAATGGAACCATTGAGGAGAACATCTTATTTGGGCAGCCAATGCATCTAGAAAAGTACAGGGAAATCATACATGCTTGTTGCTTGGAAAAAGATCTAGAAATGATGGAGTTCGGCGACAAGACCGAAATCGGAGAGCGTGGGATCAACCTTAGTGGTGGCCAGAAACAGCGCATCCAGCTAGCTAGAGCAGTTTATCAAGATTGTGATATATATCTTCTTGACGACATATTCAGTGCAGTCGATGCTCATACTGGCTCAGCTATCTTCAAGGTGAATCTTATTTTTTTATACTAATAATGGACAGGTGACAAACCCTCTAAATAAATGTATGTTATATAGTATCTCATTCTGTATACGTTATATATCTTACTCCTTTAATTTTTTATTCAGGTCTATCAAGTTTGTGCTAAGTACTGTGCTATGCTAGTATTTTAGCCAGTTATTAAGCAGCACACTAACAGTTAATCCTGTTCTGCAGGAATGTCTCAAGGGCATACTGAAGAGCAAGACTGTCTTGCTTGTTACTCACCAAGTGGATTTGTTGCAAAATGTGGATACTGTATTTGTAAGTTCCATTTTTCAACTCCGCGTATTGATTTTGGAGAAAATAGAGTATACATATATTCTTGCTTCAGAAATGAAGAAGTGAATAACTCGGAACATATTGCAGCGCATCACTAGAATGTTTTATTTTTGGTTCAGTAAGTAGAGAAAGAACAACTGTATTCTTCATACCTATGGTTCCTAAAAACTTTCTTTGTATGTTCTTCAGATCTATTTAATCTTATTTTAGTTATCTTTACCTTTCAACATATGCCATACTTATGGTACTATGTGAAAGATAGCACGGTGATATTATCGACAGATAACAGAGATGAAACTACATTATATAGTTTGGATATGAACATGCAGGTGATGAAAAATGGTGGGATTATTCAGTCAGGGAATTACGGCGATTTACTAGATTCCTCTTCAGATTTTTTGGCTCTTGTTGCTGCTCACCACAGTTCTATGGAAGCATCTGGGGTGGAAGGTCACAATGTTCAGAACACTGAGAATTGCCCAGCCACCACAGTATCACAAGAGCCCTCTTCTCTTAACTCCAACTCCAGTAATGAAAACAGCCATACAAATGCCGTTGTGCCGAGCAAAGAAGCAGGTTCGTCGAAGCTGATCCAGGAAGAGGAGAAGGAGAGTGGACGAGTAAGCTGGCATGTGTACAAGCTATATGTCACGCAAGCTTGGGGCTGGTGGGGAGTTCTGCTCATTCTAGCATTGTCTGTGCTGTCAGAGGGCTCCACAATGGCCAGTAACTACTGGATGTCATATGAAACATCGGGGGGCACCATATTTGATATCTCAAAGTTTCTTGGTGTCTATGTTTCGATAGTCGCTGTTTCAATTGTGTTTGAATTTATCGCCGTTCTTTTCCAAGCATTTTTGGGGCTTAAGTCAGCCCAGGCCTTTTTCAGCAAGATGTTAGACAGCATTCTGCGAGCTCCGATGTCATTTTTCGACACCACTCCTTCAGGAAGGATCCTAAGCCGGGTATGTCTTATGAGGCCATAGATTTAGTTTGTTTACCGGCCATGTATACAGATGCAATCATCTGTGTATAATGTTTTCAGGCATCAGAGGACCAGACTAAAATAGACGTTTACCTTTTATTCTATACGGGTGCCGGCATATCGATGTGCATTTCGGTGGCTAGTAGCATTGCAGTTACCTGTCAAGTAGCATGGCCATCAGTCATAGCAGTGCTTCCTCTACTGCTTCTGAACATTTGGTACCGGGTATAATCCAGACACTACAATGCATCTTAGAGGACTCAACTAATTCTTCATTTCACTAAACCGTATGTGAATAATGGCAAAGTTTTCTTTTCTGACTTTTCTTAATGTTTCTCAGAATCGTTATATTGCAACATCCCGAGAGCTAACTCGCCTTCAAGGAGTAACAAAGGCACCGGTTATTGATCACCTCACGGAGTCCTTTTCGGGCTCTCCAATTATAAGGTGCTTCGGGAAAGAGGATGAATTTTGCCAAAAAAGCTTGGACATGATTGATTCGAATTTGCGCATGTCTTTCCATAATTATGCAGCAAATAGGTGGTTTGGGTTTCGCCTGGAGCTAATTGGCACACTTGTGTTGTCTATAACTGCTTTTCTCATGATCACTTTGCCTACCAATTTCATCAAGAAAGGTATTAGTCTCCATCAACTGAGTATTTAATTATTTATAGAATTGCATTACATAAACTAGTTTCGTGCAACTGCTAGCAACTGGGCAAACTTTCTTAATTTTCCACCTTTCTGGGTCTGTTTCTTTGTGACCTGCAAATGCATTATGACATTCCTTCATTGATATTACTGTTTCTAATGTAGAATTTGTCGGCATGTCTCTGTCCTATGGTCTTTCTCTCAACTCCTTGGTGTACCATGCAATTTCTGTAAGCTGCATGATAGAAAATGATATGGTCTCTGTGGAGAGGGTGAATCAGTACAGTAGCCTTCCTTCTGAGGCAGCAGGGACATTGGCAGATTGTCTGCGTCCGACGCCAAATTGGCTCCAACGGGGAGACATTGACATAAAGGATCTAGAGGTCAACAATTCTTTTTTTTTCTTTTGTTGATTCTTCCTTTGGCAAGCTTCTTTTTGTAAGCTACTATTCTCTAGGTGACTGATAGAAATGAGCCACAAAATGCTGTTTATTTAATTTCAGGTCAGATATAGACCAAACACACCTCTAATCTTGAAAGGCATTACGATAAGCATCCGCAGTGGAGAAAAGATTGGCGTTGTGGGAAGGACCGGCAGTGGCAAGTCAACTTTGATCCAGGCGTTATTCAGGCTTGTGGAGCCAGCAAAAGGTCGGATCATCATCGACGGAGTTGACATTTGCACTCTGGGCCTTCATGACCTGAGGTCTCGCTTCGGTGTGATTCCTCAGGAGCCTGCACTGTTTGAAGGAACCGTGAGAAGCAACATTGACCCAATTGGGCAGTACTCCGAGGCTGAGATATGGCAGGTAACAGGATATAGCTACTGTGTGTAATACACGAACTTCCTCTGTGATACGCCGAGTAATTCATTATTTTTATTGGTCTTAATATATTATTATAAGGTAGAGACGTACTGCTCTACCTTCTGTTTCAAATTAATATATTTTTTCCTATATACACAGGCCCTTGAGCGTTGCCAGCTGAAAGACACAGTAGCTGCGAAACCTGAGAAGCTTGATGCACAAGGTATATGCTTATCATATGGGAATCTTGATCCTATGTAGAATCATAACTAAGTGTTACAATGCAAAATGGTAGTTCAGGCTTTATAGTTGGTTCCGATCCCATAAGGATCCTGTGATACTGATCTTTGCTTAGGTACAAGTATATGTTTAACAATGAGAATTGAGAGATATTATGCAGCAGGGAAGTAAATGACATTGTTCGTAGAGATTATCACCGTACAAGCTTGATTGATGGTTTTCAGTGCACTCTAGGCACGCATTTCACATTCTTCGGTGACAATCATAGTTTTAAATAGCCAGCTATAGCTCTGCTATAGCCTTATCAGCCGGGTGCCACTAAATGTTCGCCTTCACAAATAGCCCGCTATAGCTTATTTGGAGGCCCGCCACTATTTTCCGTAGCCCACTATTTAAAACATTGATGACAATAGTCAAATACTTGTTGCATGTTCGTTTGTAGTTGCGGACATGGGTGAGAACTGGAGCGTGGGGCAACGCCAGCTCCTATGCTTGAGCCGTGTCATACTGAAGCGCAGCCGGGTGCTGTTCATGGACGAGGCCACCGCTTCTGTTGACTCTCAGACGGATGCAGTCATCCAGAGGATCATCCGGGAGGAGTTCCGTGAGTGCACTGTCATCAGCATTGCTCACCGTGTCCCGACCGTCATAGACAGCGACAGAGTTCTGGTGCTGGATGCAGGTAGGCTGCGCCCCTTTTCTGTTACATACACGATCGAATCATACTATGTGTTTCTTGTGTCTTTCACACAAGAAGGAAACTGAATTATGTATGTATTTTACTGTTTCAGGGTTAGTGAAAGAGTTTGATGCTCCATCCAAGCTGATGGGAAGGCCTTCAATTTTCGGGGCGATGGTTCAGGAGTACTCAAGCCGCTCGTCGCAGGCAACCGATGGATGATGTGCATGCATGTCTACCTAGAAAAGCCAAATAACATAGATCAAAATTCCAGATGAAAAAGTTTAGAAAAAAACAAGTAGTCGTAGGAAAAGATGAATTCTAGAGTGAAATCTGTAAAGTATGCAGCCGTAGGACAATGAGCATATCCGAGTTCAGCATGCCTAACAGATATAGAGGACATCTCTGAACCTCTCCAATCTCTAGCAAACATACATGTTCTTCAAATATAATTTCGATTTCTCCAGATAGTCCAAAAAATAGCAGCCATACCAATAGAGACTAGATGCTTACTAGTCCACCCCTTTTTCAACAGGTTATCTTTGTCAACATAGCATTTTTCTTCAATAACCATAAGAACACTTTAATAGTGGGAGGTACTTTAACTTCCCACATAAACGTGTGTGGAAAGTTACTATCATTGAACCAATTTTTGATAGAGATTTGACAGAAAACTTACCATCAGCGGTAAGCACCCATCTAACATTAATACATTATCTCTATGATCAGATAACGCTATTTCATCACATTCTTCCTTCAATTCATTCCACATCATCAAAGAATCCACCCATTCTAAAATTGATTATATCCCACCCTTTTTCAAACTTAGTGGCAACAAAAATATTCCTATCAAAACAAATATTATACTCCCTCCATCCCATAATACAAGAGCAATTTTTACACTAGTGTAATGTCAAAAAACACTTTTATATTATGGGACGGAGGGAGTATGAACTAGCGTGAGACTTACATAAAGGTCTATAACCTAGCCACCAATCCTCGAAAAACCTGGTATTTTTACCATCTCTTATAATCTTCTTACATTCTGATGGTATCTCCGGAATTATAGTTGATGTCTAACAGACATTTAGCATTAACATCTTTACTATTAAAAGGAAGTCCGCGCTTATGATGGTAGTTTTGGTGTTTGTACGTTCGTCTCGTCCCTCCTCCCAAAACCCAAAACCATGATTTGCATTAGCTCAATCAAATCAAATCAAATCTTACCAAAACTTCAACCAAATTGAAACATTTGTGGCTTGTCCTATCCATACTCAAATCACATCAAATCTTAACAAAACCTCAACTAAATCAAAACATTCCTTGCCTTTCCTATCCATACTCAAGTGAAATCAAATCTTACCAAGATCTAGAATGTGTTGGATGCAAGGTATATGTCGGTTGGTGTTGAACCACTAGAATATGTATGTCTCCGTTGCTATGCACAGGCAATAAACTACTATGTATTAAAGATTACTGTCTGCCACAGACCCTTCTCGGTCACAAATTTCCAAAACCATTTAGCCAACAAAGCTTTAATCACATGTCACAAATTTTAAATGCATACTTGTTTCTTTTTGGCCTGGCAAACAGTGCCCCAATTAACCAAGTGATTTTTTTCATCCTCTTGCCGGACCATCGTAGGGTTATGTGACAGGAACTTAATACGCGATTTTATCGTCAACTGAAAATCACATGCATAATCTTTTGCTAGTTCATGTGCTATCCTGCAGGCGATAATTTAGTCATATATGAATCACCAGACGATCATGATTCTGACATCTTTTGACGTTTTTAGAAAATCCAAGCCATGGTCTGCTGTATTTTGGCCAACATTTGGCAGGTCAAATATTTAAAAATGAAAAAAAACTCGGTGTACACTTTGCTGAGCATTTTTATGGAATACTCGACAAAGTGGACAAATGGCAGCTCCTGATTAGTTATGGCATGGTTTTGGCGAGTGCCCGGCACACGATACTTACTTAACAAAAGCAGCCATGTGTCAACACTTGGTGATTGCTGGCAACTCCCACATCCCAACGTTTACCGAGTGTCAGGTGGATGGCACTCAGCAAGGTGACCACGTGGTGCCCTCTGGAAGCCCCTCCGGCGCCTGTGGCTGGTCCTTTAGCCGAGTGGACGGTTGGCTGCACTCGACATATCCCTCTTTGCCAACTATCTGCACTGGGCAAAGTATGGACACTTGGCACTAGTGGTCTCGTCTCTGAGTACCCGATTACTAGCACTCGGTAAAGTACTCAAAAAAGATGGCTTTGCCGGTCCCACCATAACACTCCGCAAATATTGGACGAGTATTTCCCACCCTTTGCCTTCAATTCCGGCAATGTTGACTATCATTCACATATACTTCCTCTTATTTTATTTACTTTGCATATTAGCTTTGTCCGAAGTGAGACTTCACAGAGTTTGACCAAATTTATAGAAAACAATATAAACATTTACAATAACAAATATGGCGGTTGTGAAAATATATTCAATGATGAATCAACTAGTATCGATTTGGTATTGTAGAAGTTAATAATTTCTTCTATAAAATTGGTCAACATTTACAAAACTCGACTCCAGACAAGGTAATATGCGGACTAAATAAAAATGGAGTATCAAACTCTGACCAAATTTGTCAACAACTAGTGGAATGCATTCAATCAGTTTGTCATAAGGCTTCGGCAAATAGAGCAACTTACAGAAGGATCTCTGGTTTTCCATAGCTGGCTATTCTCGTGTATGCATTGCACATTGCAGCCTGCCAAAAGTATTGCTTATAAGTACACAAAACCTATAAAAACTAAGTAATTAACCTGGAGCTCTGAGTTTCTATTAGTCTGTGTATGGAAATGGCGCCTCGCTTATGACTTGTCGCGGGGAAGAAGATTGCCATGAGGTTTTTTGTTTACACTTATGCCATAATCATAGTGTTTTCTCATCAGGCTAGACTTTAGGTGGCCTAATCTATCCTACAATAGTGAATGATGTAGCGCCTTTTAGCAGTGGTACTGCCTATTTTGCATGAAGGAAGTGGTACCACTTTCTTTTCTCTACCATCACATATATTCATGAGCAGACATTTTTCTACCGCGCTCGTTCACCTTTTTGTTCATTTAAACCACTGGCATATAATTGTACAGTTGAATATGCATTGATTTAGGATACATTATTTCATTTCATGGTGACAATTATTGTTTAATTAGTGAAGTATGAGCTTCAGAGAGCATCTAATGCATGAATCACACATGTGTGATATTCTTTTTCATAGAAGATCCTAGCTTTTTGTGGACTTGATACCTTGTGGGAGACTTTTACTGTACTTGCTATCTTGTAGAACAGAATTGTGATTTCTTCATGCTGTGTGCTACAGATACTTTCAGAATTCAAATATATTCATAAATTTGCATGTGGTAGGAGGATATGTCATTATGAATAGCTATTACGAGGTTTCTTATATTGCTGGAATAACATTTCTGATCTATAAATAACTTCTTTTTACTTCCATAGAGTTTGATGATAACGCTTGATTAAATAGTATTTGTAATCTATAATTTTTGTATTGTTTCACATGTGGGAATACTGGTCGCTCTCGGTGCCTCTCCAATTTCTCTAGTGTTGTCTGGATTAGGCTTCAACTGCATGCTTGAAACCTTGCTAATCATAATGGCACAATATCTACATCCTGAGGAAGATGTCAATGGGTTGGATGGCTCTTGAGTCACCACGACAAATCTCATATGAGCTAAATGAGACTCTGTCGGCGACCGATTTTCTGGATCCATGCTTGCTCCCGACACCCACGTCGGGTCTTTTAACTGAAATGCTTAACTATGACCGTCAAACTACTACTCCTACCCCAACACTACCACCAACTCAGGTAATTAATAGTGATGCCAGTCAGTGGCGGACCCAGGATAAAAACCGAACTATGTAACCAGCCGGCTCCGGCGCGTGGCAGACTCTGGATGACAGCGATTGCCGCAGCAGGTTGTGGCCGAGCGACGATTCGTTTGCTCAGTTGCTCTATAATTAATTTTCAAGAAAAGTCGAAGCGGTGTCGTCTTGCCTCTCGATTTAATCACTTCAGTTTTCTTTTATTAAGAGCGGATTGCTCGTGTACGCATAAAACTGGGTTGCTGATAAATTGCCTTTGTTTTTTTTGAGCTTTTTCAAGGGAGTTGGGGCACTAAATCTGGGCTGACTGGGGGCTTGCTGGACTAGTATTGGACATATACAGGGAGGGCCAAATATTGAGTCGGGTCTTGGGCCCCCACTCACCATAATGTGGGTCTGCCCCTGATGCATGCAGTGATTCATGTTGTCGACAATCTCAGTCTGTAAGGTCCGGGTCGTTAGAATTGTATTTTGTTGTGTGTCGGTGATGGGTAACTTGTTTGCTAAGGTACTGACCTAAAATCACATATTTATGGCAAATATTTTTATTTATTATAAATTATTTTGTTGACATACAATCAACAATACATTTTTTGTCTGGAGTGACTATGGCTTAGTTGATTAGATATAGTTTTTCTAAGTTATTAACAATTGATTCGCAAACATACTTGTTTTAAATATTTTCTTTCATTAAGGTGCAATTGAATTCTTTAATTTTGAAAATATTACCTCAAAAAAAACTTTAGTTTAACTGATTGTTTCTGGATCAGAGAAAAGAAAAGAAAAATTGCATGGCTCCGCATATTAACTTCCGGTATTTGACTGAATAGTAGTATATGTAGGTGTTTTCATTTGTTCTATTATTGTTAAATATCTTGGCATGGATGTACAATCTAACAAATATCTTGATAGGAATTCTCAAAGTGCATAGTTTTCTATCTTATGTGCAATGAATAAAAGAATTTCCATTATGTAGTATATCTACTAAGGGTTTGTCCTTGAATTGCTTACTTTCCTTGCTTACTAGTTTTTTCATCATCATGGTTTTTTTCACATTCCTTGGTCCAACAATCTGAAGGAAATATGCCCTAGAGGCAATAATAAAGTTATTATTTATTTCCTTATTTCATGATAAATGTTTATTATTCATACTAGAATTGTATTAACCAGAAACATGATACATGTGTGAATACATAGACAAACAGAGTGTCACTAGTATGCCTCTACTTGACTAGCTCGTTGATCAAAGATGGTTAAGTTTCCTAGCCATTGACATGGGTTGTCATTTGATTAACGGGATCACATCATTAGGAGAATAATGT